TCTATGTTTGATTTTGTGATAATATGTCAGTAGTAAAACTACTTTTCTGCAAATCAATAGAACTCAAAACAACAGCGCTAGCATTATTTGCTATTTCAAATGAAGTTATGAATGAGGCAAACATAGAATGCAAAAATTGCATCGGAATATGCACCGATGGTGCTCGTTCAATATCCGGAAGGTTCGAAAGTATACAAGCACTTGTAAACTTGTAAAAAATCGCCTCCATGCGTCTGGACACATTGCATGATCCACAGAGAAGCTTTGGCTTCAAAAGAAATGCGTCCCTGGTTTTAATATTGTGTTAACTACGGTTGTAACGATTGCAAATTATATAAAAATGAGAACCCTGAGATAAAGAATCTTTTCCGCTCTTTGGGCCCAAGGAAGTCACTAAAAATTATTAATTTCTCTTTTAAATTTAGTATGCTTTGATTAAGTAAGGTGGGTAAGCCAAAGGTGGTCAGTGCTCCTAACGTAGCGCACCCCCCAAAGTAAAATTAAATTTATTTTGAATTATAAGACGTCCCTGCTGCATTGTAAATCTTGTATCTGAGGTGCACGAGGCTGAATTGGAAGATATTTCCTTGAATAGCCTCCACTCTATGAAGTGACTTAATTTTTTGCAGTTGTTCTAATTTCCGGGTGAGAAGATATTGTAATTTATAAGTGTTTAAATTCTTAGAACTTTGAAAGTTTATTTCTTTTTCTTTAACCACATTACTTTAATTCTAATTAATCTATCAGATTAATAGTTTTAAGTCGTGCAAATGGTGACCATATGCGTGTTCCCAAGGTGTTGCCCGACACCGGTGCCATCTTGGGGACACAGGGGCCACCTTCGGAAACAAACGTGAAATCTATAAAAGAGTTCATTATAAATCATTACGTAGCATATTATTTCTCAAAGAGGAATGATTAAATTGAATGCCAATTGATTTATTTCATTTTAAGCAAATATGGAACTTTGGTATTTTTTAAACTTTTATAATATTTTGACGTTCTCTGCATTTTAGCATTTGTTACAAGTTTTTTGTATTGTTTGCATTTTAAAGTAATTTTTCAGGTATTTTTTTATTTTTCTTGTAATTATGAGTGTTTTTGTGGTCGATTCTGGTATTTACTTGCAAATATGGATATTTTTATACTAGTTATGGGCTAGGTTAGTTAACTCTAGTATGGTTATTTAACTCTTGTTAGTTAATCGTTTTGAAAAAATTAACTCAGTAATAAAGATTAAAAGAATCGCTAGTGACTTCACACAAGAACTATCAATGTAAAATCAATAAACAAATTATACACTCTGAAAAAACAAATATCTTTTTCAAAATCGGGAAACTTGTTCCTACCAGCAAGACACTTTAAGTGCCTTTTTAAAAGACGTTTGCCAGTCTAAATGTTTTTTCTAAGGATAATTTGAGTAAGTGAAAAAGTGATTTCAATATATGGCTCACCTTTGGAACCTGTGGGAAACCTTAGGTGCAGAAGCTACAATTTTGAAATTGTACTATAAAATAATTGAAAGTTTATTTTACAATTAAAAGTATACGTGATATATATTAGAGATAGGTGTAAGATGTTACAAAAAAAATTTCAGCCACACAGACTTAACCAGAAAATTAGGAAAAATCCTCAAAGCAAAGCCATTTTTGGCTCCCTACCTTAAATTTTGATTCAATAAGTTGTTTCACTTTAATAAGTTATTAAATATGTCGAAATGTATTTTATTTTCTATGTGTTCCTTTCCTTTCATACAGTTAATCAATTTTTTTTAAATAATATTTTCTCTTGAATATTCTCGCGCCACCCCTCTAGTGTGCTCGCGCCCCCCTAGGGGGGCGCGCCCCACAGGTTGAGAATCACTGAATTAAAGTACTATACAAATCAAATTTTATATACGAACATAAAAAAAGCTATTTTTATGTTACCATTCTTATAAAAGAATTCTAACAGTATATAAATATAAAATTTAAATGTATTAAATGAGTTAATGCAAACATTTACTTACCTCCTTATAAATAAATTTACATTTGGTTTTCTTGTTTTCCAAAGAAAATTTTTATTAAGAATGGGAATTATTGATATCACGATTTATGTTTGAAAAAATGAAGTTGCAAATAATTTTAAAAACTCTTAATTAAAGTTAAATTTTAATTTCAAAAATTGAACAAAACAAAAGGTAACAGAAAATTTATATCTGAATTAAAAATGGTTAATTTAAATGACGCAATTAAATGAGTTAAAAACTGGAATTTAACTGCAGCGTTTTACGTTTGTCTCAGAAAAAATCTCTTGACAAAATTACCTAAGTAAATGTTAACAAGAGTCATCCCCTTGGATCCCTTAAAAGCTTACATCCATTTTCCTAGAACATCTAGATAATTTCTAGTTTAACAACTTAAGGGACATATAGTGGTACTGTAAATATATGACATTTTATAAAAGCACAAAAGAGCCCAGGGTCATAAAAATGATTAAGGCAATTTAAAGAAGGAAAAGGTCATTTTCCTATGGTGTAAAAGGAGATGGCTATTTTTTGAGGAGTCAGATAACTGTGGGTCAACTCTGTGGGGGGTATGAAGGTTTTAACACCTTCATACCACCCACAGTCAAAAGATGCTTTCAAATATATCTATTAGGCTGAGAGCAAGCTCGCAACCAGCAGCTTTTTCGTCCCTCAGTGAAATAGATATACCACAAAAACAAATTGAAAGAAATGTTACATTCCACAAGAACAAATTGTTAAGATAAGGCGTTCTACATTCTAATTGATGTAGATTCTAATTGATTCTTCACTGAGGAAAGCAAAAGCAGCCTGCCCTCAGCCTTAGTCTCAG